TATAGAAATTCATATGATGAACTCTCCATATTTATATTTGAAATAAAGATCTAGAAATTCCTAAAATAAATATTCATATTATTAACTATTAGAATAAAAGCCGAAATTCTAAGATAAAAAAATTAATTTATAAAATAGAAATGCTGAAATAGATATTGATGATAAAGATTCTTAGTATATATTTAATTCTTTAAATCTAGAAATATAGAAAAATGTCCATAGAATAAACTCCTAATAATTATAATATATAAAGCAAAAATGTAGAAATTCCAGGAAGGATAATCATATCCCTTTTATTTATAATATAAAGATTCTAACGAGAGATGACGTTCGTGTTACATGCTCCCCATAGTCACGAGAGATAAGGGCATGGGTCAATACCTCGTGTTGTCGTGGGGCCGTATTGTCGCGGGGCCCCACCCCCTCTCTATTTTAAACCCTTGTCGTGCCGGCTTTATTTCAAACCCTTGTCGCGCGGCAATGCCACATGATGGACCTTATCGCGCCAGTATTATCATAAAAAATATTTTTTATTATAGACTTGATCGCGCAAGGGGCGGCCCAGCCCTGTTATAAACCAGAAGGTTTTGACCCGCTCCCATAAAGATATAGAAATTCTAGGAAAGATATTCGTATTATAAATTCGTAGTGTGAATAATACCTATCGTATAAAAATAAAGAAATCTTACAAAATATTCATATTTGAATTTCCTAATGAATATATTTTATAAAATGAAAATTCAGATATTCCAGAATCGATATTTGAATAATAAATTCCTAATATATTCAATATTTTCTTTATCTTGAATATTTTTAATAATTAAGAATTTATAATGCGAACGTCCATCCTAGAATTTCTATATTTTTAAATTCTAGATCTTAAATATATTAAGAAATTATATAATTTGCACATCTTCTTAGAATTTTTATATTTTTAATATAGCGATCATCAAGAAGCTATAATATGAATATCCAGCTTAGAATTTTTTTATCTTTAAATTCTAAATATCATATATATTAAGAATTTATAACGCGATCATCTTTCTTAGAGTTTCTAAATCTTTATCTTATATATTATCAGCACTAAAAAATTTATAATATGAACGTCCAATCTAAAATTTCTATATCTTATATTAATAAATATTATGCATATTAAGAATTTATAGTATTAATATCCATCCTAGAATTTCCATATCTTGGTATTCTAGAAAATTAAGACTTTCAATATAATTATCTATCCTGGAATTTCTATATCTTTATCTTATAAGTATTATGCAAATATAGCGCGAATATCCGACTTAGGATTTCTAAGTCTTTACATTATAGGTTTACGTATTATAGATATTGTACACATTAAGAATTTCAAATACGATTATTTATCCTAAGATTTCTATATTTTTACCTTATATGTTGTGTCCATTAGGAATTCATAATATAAATGTCCATCTTAGAATTTCTGTATCTTGGTGTTATAGGTGCTATGTGCGTGGGTGAGAGAGGCACGGTAAATGTATGCACGAACCCTCGACCAAATTACCAAAGGAGCCTCGCGACATTTTCATGCATAGCCAAGCATTTGTTAGAAGCGTGCCAAGTTCACAAATCGCGCTGGCCCATTATATGGATATCGACAGGCTTCGGGAAAGCTTCAGTGTCTTAGGGTACACATTTACAACGCAATTAACTTCAAGATGATCGCAAGATATCGGTCAGACAAGGCAGGCCAGAATGCACTGGCCAGCCTTTCTACCATCTTCCGGGCTCAGATTTGTGGAGGCGGGCAAGAAGAGGCTCTCCGCCCTGGCCACGCACTCCATGACATAGCGTGCCTCCGGCGCGTCGCTGTCCTGGCATTTCTCACCGCCTCAAACGCGGCTCATGCATGCTTTCATGTGCCTTACCGTGCTCCGGCCTGAAACCGGCTGCGGAAGCGTCGCAGCACATCCTCGTTGAGGTTCATGTTGCGCAGAACATCCAAACCGCTTCGACCAGCTCTACCAGCGGCCACCACCGCTTTGTCCCCTCCTTCGTTGTTTGCCTGAACCGCACGGTGAGCGTGGCCTTGACAGCCCGCTCGGCGTAGATCACAAGAATGCGTCTCCAGATTTCAGTGCACCGCGCTTTATGCCGGTGAGCGTGGCAAACTGCCCGACTCGGCGGCACTAGACTTGCTCGAATCTCTGCCGGGCCTTACGTCCTTTGCGCAAGCTTTTCAGGTAGGGGAGCTTCGGCACTTCACGCGCCTATGAAAAGCGACGGACCATGCTACAGCCAGGTACTCGCATGCCCCCCCCCCACATCCCCCTTTTCAAATGTTGAGGTTTCCCCGACAGTTGGAGTTTGCTGAAATCCACAATCTCGTTTGTCTTGCGTGGGAATCCGTGGGAAGGAATCTCCCAAGTCGGCTTCGCGAAGGTAAACGATGGTAGCTGGGTCGACTGTGCTGCATGACAGAGAAACCTTCCGACATTTCTAACCCAAACCGGCTCCTCTGCATGATGGATCTACGCCTATGCCTTCTTCGGCTTGATGGCATTCCAGTGCTTTGGCCGCTTCAATTCTCCTCACCCTACAACCGCTCGGGCGTTGGGATCCAACAGGTAATCGCTAATCCTTCTAAACCATCCTCACCGATAGCCTAATGGCTCGAACCTGGCCTGCTTGCGAACAAAGCGGTTGAACGTGTCACCTTTGTGCTCCGGACGGTCGGCCGGCTCTGGCTTTGGCTCTTGTGTAGGATGCACAACTTCAGATCCGTTCTCTAAGCAAGAAAGCAGAACTTGGGAGGGGTTGGGGTGGCTTGGGGCTTCAGCTACCATGTTCTGGACACGTGGCCACTGTTCCAATCCTTGACGGACGGGCCCCCAAACCGGTGAGTACCTCACGCGCTGCCGACGCAATGCATCCGCCTTCACTATGCTTGGCCGCGCTTGGCTTGGTCTCTGGGGTCGCTGAGGAAAGACTTATGGCCTCGGGCCCGCATGTGACAAGTCTACAAGGAAGCAATCAATATGCCCATGACGGAGTTGCCTGAATGAAATGGTCTACATCTGACCTGGGGCACCGGTGTAGGTTGTGGTGTCGTAGAAGAAGCGCTCGGGACCACGCAGCATGGGAGGAGCCATGCAAGCTGGGCAGGTTTCACCCACTTCAGATGACTTTCCACTTTCCGATGCTATTTCAGCAGTCAAGAGCCAAGAGCCGCGAAACACAAATAAACGTCTTTGCTTGGCGCGTCTTTGTTTCGATTTGAAAAGAGGATTGCACGGAGTATGGAATGCCCATAGGACCATTCAGTCCGGGGTTGTCGGAGGATCCTAAACCCCATAGAGGCCTTCTTACACTTGTGCTCTGGATGAGTCCCGGCGCAGGTCATTTCTATTCAACTTCTAAAGTTGGCCCAAAAATAAAAATTAGAATAATAATAAGAATAATATATATATATATAATCTTTTAGCCTGATTTTCCTGGAAATAATGATCTTAACCACTATTTGCGGGATTAAGATGATGTGAAACCTATAGTACTGTAGTTCTTTTAGAATAGATCATATTGAATCTACAATCGCTGTTTCAACGAGTCCGATCCCTCTTGATGATTCGTTTTCTTGTGGCATTGGATCACATTAGCTCGGATTGTCCATTTCGGTCACTACTATGTCGCAGCAAACCTTCGGTTGCCGCGGCTGGCTGCTGTCACGCCAGCTCATGCGGATCTTCCACAAGCCGGCGTACACATCTATGCATGTTGTACATGTCACCCTTCGTGGCCAGGCAAAAGCTGCTGCCTTTGACCGCCTCTTCATCACGATCCCAATTCAAGCAGAGGCATGGTCTGAACTCGCTAGCGGGTGTCTTACGGATGTTTTGCTCGGGGGAATTCTCAGTCCGTCATGGAAGAGCCGCTGAGAACTTTGCTTGCAGGCCAGAACGACAAGCAACAGCACCTATCAACTGCACATAGCTCAGCTGGAAGACTACCACTGCCTAGAGTTCGTGCACTACACGACTTTGCAAAGAGCCGTCCCTGCTAGCAGCATGGCTGCAACGCGACTGCCACCCTGCAGAGCTGCAACACCATTGCCCGGTACAACACCAAGTGAGACGCATTGGCAACTACTGAGAGCAGGTGAAACATAGCATCTGTGAGCTGCTCCCCACACGCATGCTGCAGGCGTCCGGCTCCAGACTTGCATTGAAATAGACAAACAACAACTGAACAGGATGTCGTGCTGGCCTTGAAGGCCCTCTAGCTGCCCTATGTCTGCTCGGACCACTCCCAGAACAATCTCGGCCTGTTCTGCGCCTGAAACCCCACATATACTCTTCCTAGCCTTGAGGAATGTGGGATGGGCTATCCCCAAGTGGAGAGACTCCATTGCTCACTTGCTGATAGCACTTTTCGTTTATGCTCCATGTCAGGATTTGTCCGAGGCAGACATGTGCTGGTTTCAGTGTTTTAGCTCAGGGCCAAGGCGGCTAAGGACAAACGGTTACCCTGTTCCAGCTACGCTCGCGGCGGGAGCAGTCACAGCGCCTCGTATGCAGGCCTACACACCCAAAAGCTGGTTGCTGCTGCCCATCCTCATCGTCGCCGACAGGTTAGACAGAGATGCTAGGATCTGGGCCTGACAACAAGGAAAGACACAGCCGCGATCTGCGCCTTTCCCTCCCCAAGCAAAATCTGGTTGCCTGCTTCACCATCCTTGCCTTCTGGAGCGCATAGACCTTCTCATGCTCTGCCACTACTTCACGCTACTTCGAGGGCCGAAGGACAGCATGGAAGGTGTGTGGAGCGTGCTACACCATGCCGCAGGGATCCCAAAGCTTCGGGCAAAGCGCTAGGATATACAAATCTGCGTGGCTTCCTTACGATGCAGAACTTCGACAGTGGGGCGACAATGCCTCGGGCTGAAGTAAAAAGCCGAAGCAACGAAGCTTGCCCTGGGCCCTTGCCCCCTGTATATGGAATTATGACTGCTGGCGATCCTTTCTTGGACTCGAAATTGGAGCAATGCAAGAACCATGGCTCCTCACTTGCAGAGGCTTGCATGCGGGCATGGATCTCCCGGCCTCTGCCCGGCGGACGCGGATTGTCAGGTCGTGCGCATTTTTCAGCTCATCCTTCATGAGGTGTGCATCGCCCTCCACGGAATTTACCTTGGAAGTTTGCTGGGCTCAGAACCCCGTCCATAAAGGCTGGCTGCAGTGCACCTTTTGCTGAGACACCGGCCCGAATGATACGCATCCCCAAGGTGACCACGCAGTGAAACCTTTGCTTAGCGACCTCGGTGAACTACGCCTTGACCATCACTGACGCCTGCTGCAGACTCTCCAGCAACGAGCTAGCGAGTCAACACCAGCATAGCCAACCTGAGCTGGGGCAATGGCCATCTGCTCGTTGCGATCGGGCACATGGCCTTCGGCACTCACCTGGAAAGCCGTATTTACAAGTGTGCCATGCGACCTGCTATGCCAAGTGCATCGGTGAACTGCACACTAGCTTCACAGCTCATGCAATGGAATTGACGTTCAAAAATGTGCAACTGAGTGAGAATCCTCGGTGATCTTGAGGTCACGGACCTTCTCATTGCTTGGCTTCTCGAACCTCGGCATCATTCGCAAAACGATGGAGACCATGCAAGTTTGCTGGTGTCCTACCACATGACATTCGTAAAAAAAGCGGCCCGCAGCTACGGGATCCTGGTGAACATCAGGACGTCTGAAAGCCCGACCACTACTATGCCGTGTGCATTGCTATGCTTTGTGTTGCTGGAGTTTTGCGGACTGATGTCGGCGAGACCAAAGCAGGAGCAGGAGTACTGCGCAGCGGCTGCAGTCGCTGCTGCTGCTGCAGTCGCAGCAGTAGAGGAGGAGCAGGAGCAGGAGCAGGGGCAGCAGGAGCAGTTGCAGTTGCACCAGAGAAATAATAACAGTGGTAGTCGTCGTCGCAGTTGTAGTGGTGGCAGCATCAGCAGCAGTGGCAAGTGCAGTGGTAGCGGTAGTCGTAGTGGTCGCGGTGTGGTCAGGAAGGTGTATTGAACCAAGCCTTACATTGAAAACCTGTTTTGCCTTGTTGCCGCGAATGCCGCCTTATTCCCTGTCCAAGGCTTGAAGGGTGAACTGCACACCGCCCCGAACACTTTTTCCTGCAAGCAACCTGAGTCTGCCCCTGGGGGCGCAGCTTGAATCCTAGCTTCTTGTTGGTATCTGCTTTCTTGGAAAGAGACACCTCGAACCTCGGTCCAGGATGCAAAGTTGTCTGCGACAGGTCGGGGGCAACATCACCCTAAACCCTTGTGCCACGTTTCCGTCTGGACAAGCCCGTCATCTGCACCTTCTCGCAGTCTGCTGACCTATCTGCCCTCCGAGTCTCGAGCTCCTCTGGGTATCGCATCACCTCGATGCAAACCTTGCTCCTGGCATTGGGACATTACGCAAGCACAAGTTGTCGTAGCCACGGCCTGCCACTGAAGGCAGAGATCGGACGGACAGTCATGCGCAAGGCGTTGATAGCAAACAACATTGACAGTTTGCCGGTGCGAGTCTGACCGCCACCTCCCTGCACCAACGGCTCTGAGAGTCCGACGATCGTAGCTCCTCACGGCAAATCACATGCAGGGAAACGGAACAAGAAAGAGTTCATCCAAACTCCAAAGTCCTGAGCCATGGAATCTACAGTTGTTTGCCCGTTGACTTTGCTGATCCGGTCGCCTCACGAATTCGAGAAGTGCATACCAAAACAGTCAATGAATCAGACGAGTCATCCCAAACCTGGCTGGATGACGGCGTCTGGGTGCGCCTGCAAAAGCTGAATATGTGCCAAGATTCATTTCTGCATTATCAGATGCTCAGGGGTGCCTCGTTCCATGAGAAGAGCAATCCTTCGCCACCAACTTTGCGAATGAAAAGAACCTGAGATCATCGGGGCTTCAAGGGTTATAGGAGGCAGCTCTACGAGTTCCAAATTTCTCCATCGCCTCGGGGCCCGCCACATCTGTTGCATTTTCCGACACGCCCAGTGCCTGGCTAGTCACTGGCACGGAAAAAGCCGGCATCGATTCCGCTGCCTTGAAGTACTCCTTCTTCCCGCTGCAGTGGGAAAAGCCGAACCTGTCTGTCTCGGACCTGGTACTCACTTCGTTTCTTGTCTGCTTGCCCCAACGCTTGCAACATACAACCTATACGAAATAAAATAGTGTTTTTTGATATGAGATATACAATAGAAACTATACAATATATAATATATTGCATGCTATATATAAAATATACTAGGTCCTCGATAAGAACAGATATAGTATATAATATGGAATAAATCATATGTCATATATGATACATCAGTTATCGTAAACATCATGCAGTAAGTAATGTATTAAGCATGGTATATAACAAATTATCTATACTAGATAATATGTAGTATATAGTATGTACTATATAGTATATAACATATAATATATATTCTATAAAGTCTATATAATATACTATAGTATGTTGCATGATATTATATGACTATAAAATATATAATATATAATCTGTACCTTATACCATAAAATACAAACTTTACAACATGTCATATTCAATATGTCGTACAAATTTTGAACTTATGTTCTATAATATCAGATAAACGGTTAATCAGTCAAGAATTTTCTGTTGTTCTTTTTCACATGTACTGTGTATATGTCTATACAAATGTGTGTATATATGTATAATTTAGGCTTCAGCATTTTCCCGAGTCCAAGGCCGCTTTTCCAGAACGCACTCCCAGAGCTGGCAGCCCTCGGACAGAGAGAGCTTTTGACGCTTCGGATCTGAACTTAATGGAGCCTATCCGAACTCGGCATTAAGGAACTCAGCGCAGGCCTATACGCCTAAGACTCCTTCCCAGCCAAAGTTGGCCCTACACCCATCAACAGTTTCACCATACCGTGCCTTTGTGGGTGTGTGGCAACATTTTACTCCACCCAAACACATGCAAACCACATTTCTCACACCAACCACTTTCTCCAACAGCATACCATTTCATCCCCCACACCCCCGGATCACCAAATATTTTCTCAACGAGCATAACTAGCCAACCACTTGCCCCCAAGCGTGCAAGTCTTCAGCATCCATTGATCCACAGCCTGATCTACGACCGCAAAGTCACCCAGCCCCCACCCTAGGCTAGACTATCTTCATGTCTCGACCCCAATACGAGGATATCCATCCCTTCATCCCTACTAAAAGCTACCATCCTAGGAATAGTCTTAACACCAATCTCAGTGCCATACACTTAACAAGGCCAGGAGATCCTTGTTGAAGTTGGTTGACGGTTGGGGGGTTGCCGAGGTCTCTCGGCACGCGGGGTCAAGGTCTAGTGTCTAGGGCGTGACGGGCACGTCAGCAACAATTCAGGCACTTCTTCACATGTCATCGTGTCGTGTCAAAGGGTACAGTTTTTCTGAAAAGAAGCCTTCGGTTCGGAAAGTTTGCTGCTATCGAGCCGCCCTTCGCTGTCCTCATTGTCGCTTATTGAAGAAGCTATAAAAGAAATCAGGAATCTAGGCGTTGCCTTTAGAATACCTGACAGAATACCTCTCCTGCGAGCCTCAAAAAACTCTATAGAATACCCTAGGTAAACCCGTATAGAGTACCCTCTATATACCCTAGATATACCTTATTGAAGACCCCGTAGCCTATAAGACACCTTATCGAAGACCTTCCTGTACACCTTATAGAATACCTTATACAATATACAATACCAGATGGAATACCCAAGAGAATGCGCTATAAATGTCCCCAGAAAAATTATATGCTATAAAGAACACCATCTGGGACACTCTGTAGCATACCTGGTAGAATACCATACCCCCTGCATACCTTTTTTTTGTGTATCCTATAAGAAAGTTGCTGCTATCGAGCCGCCTTTCGCTGTCCTCATTCTCGGAAAACGCAGCGGTTCGATAGCATCGAAATAGCAAAACTGTCGGAGTTATAAGAGTATAAGACTACATTCTTGTCGGATAACTCGGAAAGTTGCCACAATAGCCAAATCATCCAAATTTGTCAAAATGATGTGAAATAGCTCATTTCGGATAGTTCAGATAAAGCGCAAAGTTTCCGAAATATCCGAACCATGTGAAATAGCTCGCCAAGCGGAGTAGCGGTTTTGAGACACGAAGGGCTGCAACGTGGAGCAGTTGCTTCAAGCCGCTTTGCCATGCACATGTAGCAGATATGCACATGCAGACTGCCGCAAGAGTCGTGGAGATAAGAAACCCAGAAGGGCAGAGGACCACATTGAAATATTGAAATACATTGAACTTCAATATGGCGGATGCAAGATTCAAGATTGCACGAGAGTCCTGAAGGAGGGCCATATTGAAAATGGCGGATCCAAGATCACTGATCAAGGAATCCTCCCCAAGAGTTTCGGGGAATCTTGAATCTTGGATCTTGGAAATGTGGCTCAATAGTTCAATGTGGCCCTCCGCTGGGCCATACTGAAGTATTGGGCCACATTGGGTTTCAATATGGTCGATTTGACGCGTGAGTGGAAGGAGGGGTGAGTGAAAAGAGCTGAGAAAAAAAAAGCCTCGATACATAGATCTTTGGAATGACACCAAAGTTACAACACGGCCGGGGAATCTAAGAAGGTAAAGCGAACACCCCGCCCCCAACCCCGCCACCCCCAACCCTGGCAACATCTGCTGAATTTTTGACGGGACAACGATGCGATTTTGGTGGTGAGGCCTGTTGCTGTTCTGTTTTTTGGTCTACTCGTGGAAAGTGGGATGCCGAAGATTTGGTCGGCTTGTGGAAACGATAATGAGCCTGAAGTGGTAAATTGGCGGTATGCTCGTTGAGAACATGTTTGGTAATTCGGGGGTGTGGCTGTTGCAGAACTTGGGTGGGAAAAATGTGTGGATAATGCGGTGTTGGTGTGTGAGGGGGGGGTAGTATGGACGGCAGGTATCACCTGATATCTGTGCGATTTTGACAAAAACAATGGCTCAGGTGCAGCCGTGCGGCATCCCAGGTCCGCTTCCAAACAGGCTGCGCCGCCTGTTGAACAGAGGCTGGCGAATTGTGTCGTGGGTGCTGTGCTGCGATTGCGGGTGCAGTGCTAGTGCTGTGCTAAGACTCTGCTACAGGGCTGTCCGTGCTACTGTTGCTGAAGGTGATGGGGAGCCCCTCCGCGACTCATATTCCGCAATCCAATGCCAGATGCGGGCCTCGTCACTCCCTTCGGCTTATTTCTAAGAGCTGCCACCTGTGTTCTCTTTTGTTATTCCCTTCATAGTTTAAGACTTGCCGACCCTCTCAAGCAGCAATGTCAACAAGAGTTGTTCAGGTCATGCGATGATGTACCTACTAGACTATGCGCGGGTCTCAGCTTTCGTCATGCACAGCAGCAGCAGCAGTTGTCGTCGTCATAGTGACCGTAAGAGTAGCAGCAGCAGCACTAGCTGCTGCTGGTGGTGCGGCGGCGACCGTGCCGATGGCAGTGGCGGTGGGGGGTGCAAGTGCAGGAGGCGCTGGTGGTGCTGGTGGTGCTGGAGGCGCTGGTGGTGCTGGTGGTGCTGGTGGTGCTCTTCTTGGTGCTCTTCTTGGTCTGCTGGTGGTGGTGATGGTGGTGGTGGTGGTGTTCGCGGTGGCGGCAGCGGTGGTGGTGCAGCTGTTGGTGGTGGTGGTGGTGCTGCTGGTGCTGGTGCTGGTGCTGGTGCTGGTGCTGGTGGTGCTGCTGGTGCTGGTGCTGGTGCTGGTGCTGGTGCTGGTGCTGGTGCTGGTGGCGTTAGCGGTGGCGGTGGCGGTGGTG